TTGTTTTTTTCAATATAATCATGTCGTAGTCAGATTGTTTCCGTCACACGTACATTTGTAAAACAAGAGGCGATATCTAGTGAGGTCATTTTCTTTCCGGTTAAGTTGAAACTTAATATTGGATCAACAAAATCAAACGATCAGTAGTGGTGTATCTACTGAGTTGATCTCTGACTGGTCATAGGATTTCAGCTAGCCATTTGGCGATGGTGTGATATGGCGAGTTCTACATATCTAATACAGGACCTGCTGGGATATCTTTCTTATTTATATGGTCATGCAATGGAATAATTCGTCTAGTTGGTCTACGCTTTTCATAGAGGTCTCCACTGATAACTGATTTCTCTTTCCTTTTCTTAAGAATTTCTGTTAATTTCTGTTCACTTTGACCTGAACCATCTTTTTGGACTTTTTCTTTGTTCATCACTTCGACATATTTTAATTAGTGCAACAAATTGTTGGGGTCAGTTGTTCTAGAATGTTCTGTAACTGATTTGGATCCAGGTGAAATTGTCAGTTGTTTTTCCATCTTTTTAGGTATTTCTCAGGGATTAATTTTTTGTAACTATTAAAATCCATCAAATTGATATTTTCAATGACTGTAATACTCTACTTTCATTTTCTTGACAAAATAAAAAAAACCCATATACCTTCATCATATTTTAACAAGTCAACTGTAATTTAATTGATTTATTTCTTCATTTATAAACATCATCAGGATTCGAAAATATTTTGATGATAATTCTCACTTTTATTCATAGGTAACGTAGTCATCAGTACATGACAATAATTGATCGAAAAAATATTTCAATTTACTAAATGTATCCTTGAAACTGTTTGATCTTCAGTTGTATAATAGTGAGGCAACATATTGAAGAGTGAAATTAAGCCATTCAGTGATTGATGAATATATGCTCTTCAGTGTGGTCTCTTAATAATGAAAGAAAAGAAGTTAAAAGCTGTTTTGGAGTACCTCGTAGAGTTGAATCATTCAATGATCACAAATATTGATATTCAAATTGGGAAAATTGTTTCTTACAACAATCATGTTTAAATTAGACACAATCATCTACTCTCTGTTAATCATCTGAAATCAAAGTTCATAAGTAGTTTTATTGAACACTAAACTATCTGTAAGCCATAAAATTGAAAAAATCAATAAATACGTTAATATATCTTTATTAGTCTGAAAGCTAATAATAAATATTCTCATTATTATCAACAGTATTTTATTCTTGATTATTACAGAGATTCAATTACAGCACAACTCAACACGGTATACTTTAACGAAACATGTACTGACTCTCAGTGTGATATAGCATTTCGTTATTCAGTAATGCCAATCACCACCATGCCATTCAATATCACCTTCAAGCTTTCCACCCTTGGATCTGTGTTCACGAAGACACTAACAATCACTGCTCAAGCTAACTATTCTATTCAGATGGTATGACTCAAATTTTTATCTCAGTTTTATTCAACATTTTGTCTCAGAACTATATCTCATTGATTGCTTATTGCTACGAGTGAGTAACATACACACGCACAGCTTACAGAGTCAGAAGAGGGGACTTTTATATTTTAGTTCGATTAGGTGTTGTGAATTTTGACAACAGTATCAGAACTACTTAGTTTCTGAAGGTGATTCCTCTGATAATATTTTCCGAAGTAAACAACGTGAATTAAGACATGTTACAATTCATGCTGTACTCGTTTCATGAAAAGCAGATCACTCTAACACCAACATGTTAGAGTTATAGAATCATATTTGTTGTCACATACTAATGGTAACATTTATTTTTAAAGGAACACCGTATTGTCAGTTTGGGGTTGTAGAGATCGTTGGATTTTATTGAAGTCACCAACCAATCCAAGTTAGACAACCAGTGAAAAACTGGTAGCACTGGACAGTCGTTTCATTATAGCTTGGCATCTTTCAGGAATCCACATCCACTAGCCTGAAGTTGAGAATCGCGCCCAGGACATTCGGCCTCGATCGAAAACGCCTGACTTTTAGACCGCTGAGTCGGAATCCAATAGTGTACAAGTCTAACTTCAATGAATCCACGATAGTGAGCAACCATCTCACATTGACTTCTTGTATCAGTTAATTTATATTCAATAGATAGAAGGGTCGCATGGTTATGATAATATTGTTATAGCTGTGGTAATGAACCATATTCACTTGATCAATACTAGCATTCTTAGTGAATCCCATTTCAAAGCTGTATGTAATAAAGACTGGTTTGATGTTACAGATTTTAGTCTGAGAAGACTGAAAATCAGAATTAAGCAGATACGCTTGTTAGGGACTGAATTTTCTGATGTAAATATTGATTTCAGGATGATGATCTCATGAAGCCCAACATGCATAAGCAAGGAGAAGTGAAAGTTAATAGACTTCCAGTTTTTTTTTCAGATTAAGTTTAAATCCATGATCATATGTATTGACTACGCCTTATAATTAGGATTTTGTAAAGCATTCAAACGACTCTTCTATATATTATGGTAGTGTTTTCATTTTTATGTTTTACTGGAAATGAAAATTTACTTTATTTTCCTTTGAAAATGTCCAACACTAACTCACTTTTGCTGATCATTTTAAAGTCAAGAAGCCGGGAACCCCTAGTGCAGTTAGTTTCCCTTGAGCCGATGACTACTAAAAATCAACTTATACCGAACGCCTATACGTGGCTAAAGTTATCCTTAATTCCGAAACCCAATCTATGGGGAACTATAGATTTTCGACTTTATGCACCGGGTTCCTTTAAAGAATACATATTTTTAAATCCACGACTCAAAACTCAATGCTCATCACTACCGTTTGTTAGCTTATCAGCAACTGCTATAGATAATATGGTTTATATTAACGTGGAGCGAACTTATTATGAAGGTTTGTTTGTATTTATTTAACCATTTTGTTGACCGAAGTTGTTATTGATAGATTTCATTTTATTAATAAATAGTAATTTTTTTGATCAATTAACTTGTAAATCATGACACTCATTAAATTAATTCTCCGTCAATTGATTTTTATCAATATATTTATATATAGTAAAAGCATTAATAATTTTAAGCGAAATACTCTCTCTTAGAAAACTGTCAATAAGTTGTTTTTACGAAAATTGTGGAATGTGATTGGTCCGAAAGCATAGTGGTTTCTCGAAGTAAGCAATATTATATAATAGCTATTCGAGGAAAACACTTGAATTCGGTTCGGGATAAATTGAAATTTCTCGGTAATATGTATCAAGTCCAGATGAAATATAGACAAACAATAAGCAGTAATGCTATTCCATAATAAGTTACTTATAAAAAAGGACAAAATATGACGGCATATGAACTCCTGCTCAGAGGATAGACAACAAATTTATGGAAAAAAAGGAATCGAAATGCTCCTGACACAAATTTGATAAATATTTCATATTATCATTGAATTTTCTTTTATCCCACAGCAGACTGATGCCGATAGTAACCGGTCAACGAATATTCAGTAACTTACGTAAACAATTGTTTAAAAATACTTGTGCCTGTTTGATAATGGTTGTTGTAGTCGTCCACGTTTCAGCTCAGCACAATAGAATTAATCGTATTGACATTCGCATTGAAGATTGTGACTTTGAAGTTGATTGAGAGTTGATTTGAGTCTCACATGTTCTTCAATTGTTGGAATACTGTCCTCGCTTTGCCAATACCCACCTTTACGTCTGTATCAGATACGCCTTGTTCATTGATGATGTTTCCAGGTACGTGAGAGTTTCCACCTCTTCCACAGCATCTTTTCATGAAGTGTGATTGGATTGGTGTTCTCCATGTTGTCTTTGAAGATCTTGGTCTTGCCCTTGTGTATGTTGAGGACTAGTGATCCAGAAGCTGCTGGTACATTATTGTCTTCATCTGCATTCGTTCGTGCGTATGGGAGTGAAGAGTCAGGTCATGTGAGAAGACAAATCGTCTAGCTGCATGCAAGCAGTCCATTGTATTCCGTGCTTCCCCTTAGACGTCGAGGTCTTCATAATCCAGTCAAGCAAAAGTGGAAATAGAAAGGGAGAGAGTAATCAGCATTGTCTGACACCAGTTTTCACTTGGGATGCATATGTCAGCTGTCATTCACGCACCACTTTGTACTGTAGTCCATCGAATGAATTCCGTTTGATATTGACGATCTTCTGAGATACACCATAGTGTCGAAGAAGTTTCCATACTGTTCTCCTATCCACACTGACATACGACTTCTCATAGTCAAGGACGTTGGTGAATAGTGACTAGTTCCATTCAATTGATTGCTCAACAATGATCCGTAGTGTTGGGATTTGGTCTGTGCACGACCGATCCTTGCAAAATCCAGTCTGTTGATCTCGAAGTTGAACGTCCACTGAATCTATCAACCGATTCAGCAACACTGTTGAAAACGTTTCCTGGTACCGATAGTAGTGTGATGCCTATATAGTTCCCACATTTGCTCAGATCTTCGTTCTTTGGTATCTTGATGAGGTGTGTCCTTCTTTCCAGTATGTTAGTGGCATTTGTTCCTCCTCCCAAATCTTCTTGAACAGAGTATGAAGCATTTTTGCAGTTACTTGTAGGTTTGACCTCAGTACATCTGATTGAATATTGTCAGGACCTTCTGCTTTCCCACTCTTGATTTGACTGAAGGTCATCCAAATTTCTTCCATCGTTGATGGAGTGACATCTATGGGAAGGTTTGTGTGTGCCGTTTCGATATCCAGTGGATTCAGTGGGACTGGCCTATTCAAAAGTACCTCAAATTATTCAACTCACCTGTTCCTTTGTTCTTGAGTCTCGGTGATTGTCTTGTCTTCTTTGTCCTTGACTGGTCCCTCTGGTTTACTATATTTCCCTGTTAGTGTTTTCGTCGTGTCATATCGTTGTTTGATATTTACTGCACTTACAACTTGAGTTACAAATGTTCGAGATAAAAATAAATAACTGTGAAAAATTAAATTTTAATTTCTAGTTTGTGTTTTGGTTTTGTATAGGAATCGTGAATGATTCAACATTATCATTGTCAAATGAGATAAGTTATCTTATTCCAGTGTTTACTGCTGATTATAACAAGCTACCGGTAAATTTCACTTACAATATGACACTTGGTTCCTATTCTACTTCTGGTAGCTTCATGTTTATTACTACTACTCCAGCAGTAAGTTAAATAAATTATTTCATATTATACGTTTTAATCTGTATAATAATTATTATGTCATGTGTTGAATTCTGAAAAATTGTTTGGTGAAATCAGTATACATTATCCGTCTATAAACTGTTATTTTTATTTTACTAATGATGCATTTCTTTACCTAATTAATTCTCTTCGCTTAATTTAAAGTAAACAGATATGAGATCCGACAATCACCATTTAATCTAAGTTGAGAACGAATTCTGACTGTTAAATAAACGAAAACAATCATGTCATGAAATATCTATCCACTTTTCACATGACCTTTCATGAAATAATTGTTCTTACCTTCCCATCTGAAGAAATGTATATTTCGTCCAATATAGCTCGTACCATAACCTGTTATAACAAACGCCATTTTAGTGAAAACACACTAATATTAAAAATTATTAGTGTACAATTTATTTTTTCTGGTTACTCCACAAGATTTCGATCTGTACAACTGACATAATTCTGAAAACTCTTCTTAATCCCTACTTTTCTGAAGTATAACTATTAATTTAGAATGTAGAAAAAAACAAATATGCTGGTTCCTATTTATTTGAATTACAACTATCGATCCAGATAAAAGACGAAACAAATTGGCAATATTAATTTGACACAACTGAATTCTGTTTGAAGTAGAGTTAGTTATCAATCTATCAATCTAATAGATAAGAAGCAGAACCTACAGAGGTGTATATAATAATAAACACTTAGTGATTCAGTTAAGGAAAAGTATATATTGAAGTAAGCGTTAAATCTTTCATGATCAGTTGTGAATGGTTGATATTTCAAACGATTGTCGTGACCATATATCTACTTAGAGATGCGGACAATAATTCTTGGCAGTGGAATAACATCACAAGCATGAGATGATATATTTGCATTCATTATAAAACCACTATCAACAACATATTTTATACTTCCCTATACATTTCATTGGTACTGATTGCTCCACTGGTTTTTAAAATGTATCAATAAATTTGTAATCTAAGTTTAGATGTAAAATTGCTTTTCAAGTTAAAAAATGAATACTTCACAAGAAAATGACATTAGAATGTGTTTGCCTTCATTTCTAGATATTCTCTAAACCTAGTTTGACAACATATTTTGGAATTTTAATTATTGATGGTCACTTGACGAAACGAGTGTTTCACTAGATGTTTATTGTTATAACACCATAATGTCGTTGGATTTAAAACAGTTAAAATTCTTCATCTGTACTAATTAGTTTTCACAATAAAATTTTTTTAATAAAGTGTAGATAATTATACAACTCCACTCGTAGCTCAACTATAGGTACTGCTGGTGACAAGACTAGGTAAAGAAAGGTTAGATAAATTAAACTATTTAAACTTTGCTCTCCGAGTTAAAGGAAGATGATGCCTTGCGATGAAGGTCGAAACTCTTCGGAAGTGATTAGACTGATGCCACTGCTAACAAACACAGTAACCATTAATAACGTTACATAGAAAGTACAACCAATGTGGCAGGCCGGAAGGACAAATCAATTAGCAATGGAAATGAGAAGATACAACTCGACAGTACTCAGAATCAGTGAAAACTATTGAACTCAACCTGAACAGATAAGATTAGCTTCAGGAGATATGCTGCTATACTCTGGTCACGAAGAAGAAGATGCTTATCACACTCAGGCAGTTGCACTGATGCTGTCCAACGAAGCATGCAATGAACGTATAGGATGGAAATCTCATGGATCTAGAATCATCAAAGCATCCCTCAAAAAATGAAGGGAAGAATCCCAATGAATATTATCCAGCGTTATGCACACACCAATGATAGCGAAGAAAACGACCGATATCAGTTTTCTGAGATGATGAAATTGATAATAAATAAATGCACAGAAAAAGACCTGACCATCGTGATGCGACATTAAAATGCCAAAGTTGTGTAAAAAGGACAGCGATTATGTAAATATCATGGACACAAAACTGGCAGGAAGTAAACGAAATGGCGACAAATTGGGAAATATGTGTACATTTAAATAAATGGTTATAGGTAGGACAATACAACCACACAAACACATACGCAAAGCAATACCGGTCTCATCGGATCACAACACACAGAATCAAATCGCTCTTATTAGCATCAGAAAAAACTCAGAAACTGGAAGACGTGAGAATCAGGAGAGTAGCTGACATAACTTCAGATCGTCATTGATATTCATGCATGACAACTTAGAGTTTGGCTGTTCAACATACACATTGACGAAAGCATGATCTCAAAGCTCACAGAAAACTATCGATTTAGTTGAAAGCAATAGAATAAAGGAAAAGATAATAGAGAAGTCGAAGAGTGAAGTTGAGCTACACCACCAAGCTTACAGTGGACGTCCAAGCCATTTCTAGATCACGTAGCATTTATCAAAGGTGTTAGAAATTAGTGTCTATATTTAGAATTGTGAATGAAGGTTACAGTTTTCATCATGAACTAGCGTCAATTATAATCCAAGTACCTCAAACTGCATATCCTAAGCATTCTAGGCGTATTGAGTAATTCATCGATCCTTGCCATCTTTTGATTGGATAAACGGGTTGAGATATCGAGGTCGTCCGGAGGTATAGCTCAGGTCCACCAAATCGAGTAACCACATGATCGCATTCATACAATCAAACCAACATTTGATGGCTTCACGAATTGATGCTAATCCTTGGTTCCAGTGCGACCTTGATAAAATGTAATTACTACTAATAATAATGATGATGCTAGTAAAATAGTGTTTTTCCAAACTCCTGATTTATATAAATAAAAATAATATATTTGTAATATCCCAATGAGTAGAAAATTGGATTTTCTGACGTTTCGTGACTTAGTGTAAGTCACTTCTTCCTGATTTATAGGTTAAGCCAAAATAATACATGTTTTAAAGTAAATTTCTGCTAGTACTGTAGTCATTGTCTGGGACAACTCATTTAACCATTAGTATCTGCGATTGATGCTAATCAACTTCCCTTCAATCAGAGGAATATCATTACGAATTACTCAGTGGTGTACGTATCCAACCAAATTAAAAAGAAAATTGGCTTAACTTGTTATCAAAATCATAAATAAATAGTAATAGTTAAAATTGCCATCTGAGAATTCAGTTTACCTCACCGTCACAGATTTTTCGTTGATCCTGTGACAGATCACTTTCATTTACTATGTACTTCCATCGAATAAATTTTGTAGGTTCTCTCACAAATGGATGACGTTCAACACGGTATTATCTTTAGCAAGTTCAAAACTGACCTTATTGAAATATAATTAACATATTTAACCTAGTATATGATACTTGGGTTAAATCTCATTCAGAAAAGCTAAATGCAAAATGTCGCTGTGAGAATATACTATTCCAAGCGTTCACATACGATCAGATAGACCGTAATAGAAGGTGTAAATGAAAATAGTCCAGTGACAAGTCCATTTAATTAATTCCGATTATGTGTAAGACAAATAATGCACAAAATACAGATAACCGTTATGGCTATAGACAGAATAGAAAAACGGCATTCAGAAAGCATGCAAACGTAGAAAAGTAGACGACTATCATGTCTGAGCTGATAGGTATGGCAACCAACTGAATTACAATGACACTTGTTGAGGCTTCTTTTGTCTGATCATAGATAGATTTGTATGCATAATATGTCGATGGGCTTGGTATAATCCAATAATATGGAGTATTTACGATTCGTATTATGAATTTAGTGTCACATAAATCATTGAGATGATCAGTTATTTTTACGGCTACGTCTAAAATATGGAATAATCTGTCAAACTCAGTGTCGTAAAGTGACATTAATCAGGTGTCGTAGAAAATCCTATATTTATATTATTTTCCATGTGAAAAGTGTTATGGCTTAAAAAGTATGTTTTGTAATACATTTAGATCAAAGATATACAATAACTGAAATTGCAAAATTGTCTAGTTCATTTGTATACAATACAAATGAATAAATTATAGAGTGGACTGAAAATGTGTAGGAATGAGTGAAAATATTATTATGATACTGAAAATAGTTTTAGAGGCTTTATTCAGACTCCAGTAAGAAAACAGTAAAGGATTTACTTTCAACTTATTCTTTATATTCTTTCATAAATTAGAATAATGAAGTGATTATGAACTTACTGATAGACAATTAACTTTTGCTAAAAAAAACAATCGCTATAGTTGTTCAAGGTTAAAATAGACAAAGTTCAATTTGAATAAAGTCAACACTACCGAGTAAAATCGAAAATTTAATGATCTGTTGATGGGTTATATGAATACTTTGCTGCCACATCACATAATAAAAACGCGTAAATCATATTTCTGATTACGTTTTTGTCCAAATAACATTGAAACACCAACACCAAGAATTTGTATCAATCTACGTGTATTAAAAATCACAAAAACATACTTATTCTTTTCAAGATAACAACTCCTGCTGTGGCACATCAGAAGGACAAGAGCAGACGTGAAATATTTGCAAATTTATGTATATTCAACTAAATAGTTATAGGGGGTTAAAGGTGACACAGTATTCACGCACAAATGCATACACAAAGCTACACCGATCTCACCGATCCCATGATCAAACAGAAGCTAAAGAAACACTGGACAACGGGGCGAACAGCATTACAAAGATTCAATACAGTCTTCCTTCCAGCAAACTCAACCAATTCAAGATAACTCTCACCAACACGCTACAAGCCTTACAAGATCTACTGGAAGAAGAAGAATCTACTGTGGAGGACAACTGGAAAGGGATCGGAGAAGCCATAACCTCAACGTGTCAGTAGGTCATGGGTCATAACAAGCACCATCATAAGGAATGTGTCTCCGTGGGAAGCCTGGACAAGATCCAAGAAAGGAGGGAGAGGAAGACGGCAATTAACCCAAAACTGTCGACGAAAAACATAGAGTGTCAAGGCACAAGTTGAATACACTGAAGCAAACAGGCAAGTGAATAGGAGCAACAGAGCTGACAAACAGAAATACGTGG